GCGGGCGAGGGCTCTCTCGGCGGCCCCCTCCCCCGCAGGGAGGGGGGCGAGCGAGGAGGGCCGGGACGTCGGGCGTCTCGGCAAGAATCGAGGCACGTTCTCCCTTCTTCCCATCTTCCCCGCTTCCGCGTCTCCTCGTCTTCCCCGTCTTCCCGTCTTCCCTTCTTCCTCGTCCTCCTCGTCCTCCTCGTCTTCCTCGTCTCCTCATCTCCGTTCTTCGTCCTCCCCTCTTCCTTGTCTCCTCCCCCTCCCCGCTCCTTCGCTCCTCGGCATGGGCGTTCTCTGGCAGTGGCCGCCTCTACCACGCGATCTTCGTTTCAGTCACGAGCCACAGGCAAGATCGGGAGCCTTGGGACTGGGGAGTCCTCCTCCTCCTCCTCCTCCTCCTCCTCCTCCTCCTCCTCCTCCTCCTCCTCCTCCTCCTCCTCCTCCCTCCCCCTCCCCTCCCCCTCCCCCTCCGCCTCCTCCTCCTCCTCCTCCTCCTCCTCCTCCTCCTCATCCTCCTCCTCCTCCTCCTCCTCCTCCTCCTCCTCCTCCTCCTCCTCCTCCTCTCGTCGGTGGCGAGCGAGGGAGGGAAGTGAGAAGGGGCGGGCCTTCTCAGAACGCTCGGAAGTCCCCCAGCCTTCTGAAAAGTGTTCCAAAACTTCCCCGAAGACAACAAATGCTTCTCAGAAGGCGCGAGGGCTTCTGAGAAGTCCCGCCGCCTTCCGAGAAGGCCTTCTCCTTCTCATTTCCCCCCCTCGCCCGCCGCCGATCCTCCTCCTCCTCCTCCTCCTCCTCCTCCTCCTCCTCCTCCTCCTCCTCCTCCTCCTCCTCCTCCTCCTCCCCCTCCCCCTCCGCCTCCGCCTCCGCCTCCTCCTCCTGCTCCTCCTTCTCCTCCTCCTCCTCCTCCTCCTCCTCCTCCTCCTCCTCCTTCTACCCCTCCTCCTTCTCCTGCTCCTGGGGGTCAATTCAAACGGAGGTCAGCCAGAGCGCCGGATCTATCATGATCCTGCAAAGCCAGGATTGCGTTGACCCGGGTGACCCTGCAGGACCCTGCAGGGTCTTGCAGGATCCTGCTAGGCCCGACTGGCCCGGGTTTGCGCTGACCCGGGTCATTGCGTAAGAATCGAGGAAGCGCAAACATCGATTTAGGTGCGTAGATTAGTGACGGATCCATTTCCGTATACGAAGTCGGCTCGCTGCGTCGCCAAATCGGGCGGCATTGACCTCATGCTTCTGGGGCTACCTTCCCCGATCCATGGATCCCTGATCCATGTTAGCGTGTGCCCGAGAGAACCAGACAGGTCATTTCTGTTTTGCTTTTTGCGCATAGGAGCCTTTCAGAGGTAAAGTTAGGGGGGGGGATCGGCTCATGCGGGGAATGCATCGAATCCCAATCGCCCATTCATCGCCGATATGGGGCTCGATAGCCCACCCCGCCCAGGACTGCGGATTTGTTATCGGGGGCCCAATCGCTGATCTATCGGCGACGTATCGCCGATTCTAGGTGATGTTTCCCTCCCTGAGCTGGTCACCCGCTAACGTTGCGGGTCAGCCTTATTGTTGAGCTCTGGGGGCGCCAAAAAAGCAGCCTAAGATTGTGCCATCGTGTCATCATGCTATCGGATTTTCTCTCGTGGAGGTTTTGATAGTGTCGCGCGCGCGGGGAAGGGTAAGAACTAGGGGCTAATCCTTCTTCCCCCTTCATTGTCCTCATCCGTCTCCTCCTCCTCCTCCTTCCCCCACCCTCCTCACTTCTCCTTGCTCTCCCTTCTACTTTTCTGCGCTCCTACGAGTGCTTCCGCGCCCTCCCCCCCGCCGTTTATTTCTCATCTGTCTTCTCGTCCTCCCTTCTCCCCATCGGTGCGGTGATGCGGCCTGCTCGGACGGGATGGTGCAGTGGGGAATGCACCTGACGTGCTAGATTCCAGGGTATCCTATCATAGGTCGCGCTCCCCGCGGCCTCCCTGGAGGGGAAAACGCAGCACTCGGGCACCGTTGGGAGTTGTCGAGTGGGGTTCTCTGAGTGGGAAGGGCACGATCTCTGATGGATTAGCGATTTTGCGAAGAAGGTGTCGCGCTCCTATGTGGCTTCCCTGGACAGGAAAACCTACCACTGGTGGAGCTGGTAGCGTTGAGAGTCGTCTTCTGGAGCAACGTGGAAGGAACTTGTTAGACCTGGTACTGGGTTGGTTGGGCATGGTTCTTTAGGTTTCACTGTGAAAGTGGTGGATGTAAGGAAGAGGAGAAAGAGGAGCAGAGGAACAAAAAGACCCACTCAGGATGTCGGGAATGAAAAGCTGGTCTCCAGGAAGGGGTCGAGAGCTCCGGGGACTGCGTATAGATGACTCTACGGCATCGGTGGTCTAGGGGAGTGGGATAAAAGGGGGATCGAGGATTCAGGTTCTGAAGCGGATTTGGTATTTTTCCTAACGTGCTTCGTGGGGTTCTGGTTTTCTTCCCACCCGCGCCGCATCCGCAGCTCACCCACACCCGCCCTCCTCCCCTCCTCCTTCTCCTCCTCCTCCTCCTCCTGCTGCTCCTCCTCCTCCTCCTCCTCCTCCTCCTCCTCCTCCTCCTCCTCACGCACACAGCACAGCACAACACAGCACAGCAAACCGCAGCACAGCATAGGAGCACAGCACAGCACTGCACAGCTCAGCAGTGTACCCTGCACAGCTGTGCGTGTAGGATTCGCAGTGCATGGCAAGCGTGGTCCCTGAGCGTGGACTGCGGGACTTGTGTGGACTGTCGCAGGGCCTAGCAGACGTGACACTTTCTCGACACCAGAGGGGGTGCGCAGGGGGTGGTCCCTCAGCGCGGTGTCTATACGCGCCAACGTCGCAGGGCCTAGCAGGCGTGGCATTTTCTCGACATCAGAGGGGGTGCGCACGGGGTGGTCCCTCAGCGCGGTCTCTATACGCGCCAATGTCGCAGGGCTTAGCAGGCGTGGCATTTTCTCGACACCAGAGGGCGTGCGCACGGGGTGGTCCCTCACCGTGGTCTCTATACGCGCCAATGTTGCAGGGCTTAGCAGGCGTGGCACTCTCTCGACACCAGAGGCGGTGCGCAGGGGGTGGTCCCTCAGCGCGGTTTCCATGCGCGCCAATGTCGCAGGGACTAGCAGGCGTGGCACTTTCTCGACACCAGAGGGGGTGGCAGGGGGTGGTCCCTCAGCGCTGTCTCTATACGCGCCACTGTCGCATGGCCTAGCAGGCGTGGCACTTTCTCGACACCAGAGGCGGTGCGCAGGGGGTGGTCCCTCAGCGCGGTCTCTGTACGCGCCAATGTCGCAGGGCTTAGCAGGCGTGGCCCTTTCTCGACACCAGAGGGCGTGCGCAGGGGGTGGTCCCTCATCGTGGTCTCTATACGCGCCAATGTTGCAGGGCTTAGCAGGCGTGGCACTCTCTCGACACCAGAGGCGGTGCGCAGGGGGTGGTCCCTCAGCGCGGTGTCTATACGCGCCAACGTCGCAGGGCCTAGCAGGCGTGGCATTTTCTCGACACCAGAGGGGGTGCGCACGGGGTGGTCCCTCAGCGCTGTCTCTATACGCGCCAATGTCGCAGGGCTTAGCAGGCGTGGCACTTTCTCGACACCAGAGGGGGTGCGCAGGGGGGGTCCCTCAGCGCGGTCTCTATACGCGCCAATGTCGCAGGGCTTAGCAGGCGTGGCACTCTCTCGACACCAGAGGGCGTGCGCAGGGGGTGGTCCCTCAGCGCGGTTTCCATACGCGCCAATGTCGCAGGGCATAGAAGGGCTGGCGATTTCTCGACACCAGAGAGGGTGCGCAGGGGGTGGTCCCTCACCCCGTTGTCTATACGCGCCAATGTCGCAGAGCCTAGGAGGCGTGGCACTTTCCCGACACCCGAAGGGGTGCGCAGGGGGTGGTCCCTCAGCGCGGCTTCCATGCGCGCCAATGTCGCAGGGCGTAGCAGGCGTGGCACTTTCTCGACACCGGAGGGGGTGGCAGGGGGTGGTCCAACACCGCGGTCCCTATACGCGCCAATGTTGGAGGCCAAGTAGTCGTTGTAGTAGCACTAGCAGTAACCATTCAACTTTGTAGAGGTGGTAGGGGAAGTAGCCGTCGTCGTCGTCGTCGTCGTCGTCGTCGTCGTCGTCGTCGTAGTAGTAGTAGTAGTAGTAGTAGTAGTAGTGGTAGTGGTGGTGGTGGTGGTGGTGGTGGTGGTAGTAGTAGTAGTAGTAGTAGTACTACTACTACTACCAGTAGAAGTAGTAGTTGTAGTAGTCGAGTAGGAGGAGCAGGAGGAAGAGGAGGAGGAGGAGGAAGAGGAGGAAGATAAGGCAGGTGAATCGATCCTGGGGGCCACGTGCGACAACTAGCGGCTGGCACATTCCTCACCAGGATCGGCTTCCAGCATCGAGGATGGCGAAGCGGGATGTGACATGGTTTGTAAACACACGTGATATAAAATAAGTATGTGGGGTTCCTCGGTAGCGTAATTTCAAGCCTTCTGGGGTGCCCTCGTCGCCACGGCTGGATTCCCCTTCGAAGTTCTAGTCACGACGCGCTCTGGGAGAAGTCTGAAGGTCCATCTTTGAGGGGAGCAAGAAGAGGAGGAGGAGGAGGAGGAGGAGGGAGGAGGAGGGAGGAGGAGGAGGAGGAGGATGGGGAGGGGGATGATGATGATGATGATGATGATGATGATGATGATGATGATGATGATGATGATGATGATGCTGATGATGATGATGATGATGAGGATGACGATGATGCTGCTGATGATGATGATGAGCAGGAGGATGAGGAGGAGGAGGAGTAGGAGGAGGAGGAGGAGGAGAAGGAGGAAAGGAGGAGGAGGGGAGGAAGAGGAGGGGGAGTCTGAGAGAAACAGGAAGAGAGCAGAATAGTAGAGAAGCGGCGATTGTATAAGACACATACTGCAGTATACTATAATACAATGAATACATCTCATTATGATGAAATATAAGGGGAAGCAAAACACTGTGAGATACTATACGACAATATCACAAATGACAAGAACAGAGACTATACTAGT